AAAAAAAAACAAATTGTTGAAAATTATGTTAAAGGTTGCTGATGGCTTTCAAGGATAAGAAGGATGAAGAAATACAAAAAAAGAATGTATGGTAAACGTTGGACTTGAGGGCCTGGTAGGACATCCTTGCATATCAAGGCAAACAGCATGTATTAGTGTGCCACTTGCCTTTTGGTTTTAGGTACCTCCAAGTCAGAACAGAGTATTACACTATGAACAGGACAACATAGCTTACCTCATTAAAAACAGGATACATAACAGCATAGAGTGGCATGGAAACCATAGAAGTGGTCTCTGCTTCATTCTTCATCTCTTCCATTGTCATCCTCATTCAAAGATCCACTTCTCAAGAAAAATGCTATAAAAGCAAAGACTCCTCATTCACTGAAGTGGTTCTTCTTTTTCCTCGTTGTGCAAGAATACTTAAAGGACTTGAAATATAAATTGCCCTGTGAGGGAAGGGAAAATACATATTATAAACACTGACCTACTGCCACAATTTTCAGATGAAAAGTTACTACAAACGGTTTCAAGTAGAATGATAATTAGAGAAAAAAAAATTACGTTCACAAGAAAAGAATCCCTCAGTGAATGGGATTTGTACTTAATGAAGTTCTAAAATTTTAAGTCACTGTAGCCCATCCAAGAATTTGTTTTGATAAGCAAGGCACTACTGGAAAGGCTACAGTTTTATCTCAAGTTCTCATACACAACTTTTATTGAAAAAAGTACTGAAAAGGAGAAAGAATTAATTCTTCCCTTATAGTGTTCACATTGGAAGCTCTCACCACTGCTAGTGAGCAGAAACATAAGATTTTTAATAACAATATAATTCACATATGTAAAATGCATACTTTTAAAGTGATATGTATTATAGACCTGAAATGGCAATACATATTTAAAGATGTACAATTACTATAAATAATAGAAATACAAACATACAATCAAATTTTAATCTATACACCTATGTATCTAGTTTCATTTTCAATAGAATCCTAATAATCACTCATTAAAAGATACAATCAATCATTATTACAGGCTTCCTCTGACTAGCTCAGTTCTCAACATGACATCTTGCCTTTAAATAAACAGAAATCTTATGTCTTGTTCCTACTCAGGGTGTGTCAGCAACTATGTTAGCTCAATGGAAAATAGTTGTTCCGGTAACTGAATCTGGTACTTAGAAGTTCTCCACCCTACCCAACCCATCTAACTTGGAGATCTGCATCTGAGCACTGTATTGAAAGGGAAATACTCATATCTCTACTTTATCTGGTTCCTGAGAAACCCACATGATAGAACTAAATACCTGTACCATATTATCCAACTTCAGGATTTATCTGAGAAAGGGTGTTTTATTCAAACATCAAATCTGTAACAAATATTAAGGGATTTTTAAATATAGAATTAAGTAAGGGAATTCATTCTTTAATGGTCTTATTACAGGTCAATGGATCAGTCCATTTTTCTTACTCATCTGTCACTTTGTCTCATATTCTGGTTTCTATCAACCATGATAACCCCATTTCAAAGTTAATTAGGGCTGCATGTTAACTGTTTTAGAATATGGGTGTTGATATAACAATAACATTTTCTATCTATCTATATCTCTCTCTTAATATTCCAACAGGAAAGCTTGACTACAGAATGACAGTAAGAATCTCAATGCTATTCATTGCAGAATCGTTGCATACCGCCTTTATCACCTAACTTTGCATGCCTTACTTTTGTGTTATAAAATCTTATTAATGCAGGATCATGCAACATTTTATATTAAATAACTATTATTTTTAGGAGGGACCATCATCTGAAAAGGTGTTGAATCTCTTCTGTCAGCATAGCTATCTCTACACCAGAGTTTTTGCCAATATAACTGTGTCAGCTAGGAGATGAGGTTGCCCCCTGACCAACACAACTGTGGGCAACAAAACTTTGTAGTGTAGAAGTGGCCTTAGTGACTGATCTGAGGGAAATGGCAAGCAGAAGCTGGCAGTTGTAGACTGCCTGAGACACAAGGAAGGTTGACAAGCACACTGCATTCAAACCAGCTCACCACCGGCTTTTTGCATGGAGAATGCATGCTCACGCTTAAGTGTAAGCTGTGCTGCATAGCCAATGCACATACCGTGTATGGGGTAAAGGAGGATCTCAATTATATCTAAAGAAAGGGACTCTGAACACATATGTAGAGGATGAACAGGATACATACAGTGCAATTTCCAGATGCTGAATGTGAAAACAGTACAAAGACTCCAGATGTCTGCCTCCTCCAAGCATTAAACCAGTGTGCATTCAAGCCTGTATTCCAGTCCCTCTACTGACTCAATCTGCTTCTGCTGCCAGTTCAAAGACTTGATTCTAACTTTTAAAGTTGTTAATGGATCAGATCTCAGCTACAGTAGAGACTATCTCCGTGTTCATGAGCAACCAAGACAGCTGCATTCCTCTGGTACAATGAAGATCACAAAGCACAGAATCAAGCAGGTGAATAGGAGATAAGGCACTCCCAGTTGAGGGGATTTAGCTGAGGAACAAACTTCCAGAGGATATCAGAATAACCCAGACAGTGATCATATTCAGGATATGCTACAAGACTGTCCTGATAGAAGCTTTTCCACAATTACATTTAAACCAGTAATCCCAGCCTCCCTAAAATAAAATAAAAACCTAACCCAAGTAGAGCTTCCTATTCCCAAAAAAGAATAGCCAAAGAATCTAAGAAGTCACTTAGGGATTACCTATGCCCATCTAAAAGGACAAGTACTTAGAATGGTAATGAGGATTCACAGGACAACGCATGTAGTATATGTGGTGGTAGTAGTGGTCTACGGCTCATAATAATGGAAATGAGGTAGGATGGGAAATCTCTGGCACACCCTGGGAACCCACTTCAGTGACAAGCACAGCTACCATGAAGCTCATGGAAATTCTAGATTTCCAACAGAGTTCAGATTCTTTTTTGTTTGAATTTACAAAAAACTTAGAACATTGCCTCCACCGTGGACCTTACTATATATTCTTATTATACATATAAGCACACATACATCTATATCTATACAAACACAACTATTCTAATCCGTAGGTGAATTTGCCAAAAATTAAACATACAGTCAAGTCAGAAGTAAAATCAGCAGGTTATCCTTACTCCAAAACCAGGAAAATAGCCTACTACAACAACAAAAATCAAGTCCTAACGATACCATCGCAAACAGCTGCCTTTATTGTGCTGCTCCCACCCCAAAATCCTGGATAACTAGAGAGGCATTACAGCATACCTTGAAGATTAACAAAATGAAGTTATTCAGACTGCAGGGCTAAAGGGAAGGGGGAAAAAAGGCGTGCTCCAAAACTGAGAGCTCCTCACAAAAAAATGTCTGCCCCAGCTCCCACTCCTTTATACAGAGGAGTGTCAACACAAGCACCAAACCAACACCTTAAACTCCACCTGAAAATCAAGAAGAATTCAGTGCATATCACAAAGCACTGATGTCATGTGTTCCATACAAGATACACCACTTGAGACTCAGGTTGCTGCATCCTGCTAGTTGACAGTGTTCAGTGCATCTTAAAAGGTAACCCCATGTATAGCAAAACTGTAACCTTAAAGTGACAAAGGCATGGATTACAGTAGCAAGGTCCATAGCCAAACAAAATGGTCCAACTCATAGCTAAGCAAAGATGGAGGGGAAATGTCTTCCTAAACATTCAATTAGTGGGTATTAGTGACGAAGTGGGTATTCACCCACAAAAGCTTATGCTCCAATACATGTGTTAGTCTATGAGGTGCCACAGGACTCTTTGTTGCTGTTTACAGATCCAGACTAACAGGCTACCCCTCTGATTCCTAAACATTGTTACCATCAACTCCAGTTTGCAAGATCTACTAACAAACAGAATATCTCAATTCTCAGTAAGGGAGACATGATACTTTTTGAATTGTCTTCTGGCCGCTTCCCTCAAATTACCAGCATTGCCTTGGTCTTACCCTGATTGAACTTCAGCAGCTTATTTTCATCCATGCTCCAAACATTAAGCTAAGCAGCGGCAGTTTAGAGCTGTATGTCATCAGTGTACTGAAAACACCACATACCATACACCGCCTCAATAATCTTCCCAAGTGGGAAGATAGGTTAGAACCCTGTGGAATTCTACATGACAGCACCCTGGGGTATGGAAAAGCAGTTGCCTGACATCACTTTTTAGAAAAATCCAGAAAAAAATGAGGCTATATCTCATCAACTCCTCATGATTAACTGTATCAAAAGCAGCACGTATTAATCAACATGCAGACAAATCTTCATCTATCACCAGCAGGAGTTCTCCCAATACCACCAGTGCAGTCTCAGGTCAAGATCATCTGAGGCATCTAGGTACTCAGAATTGTCTCACCATAACCTTCTCTATAATATTTTCCAAAAATGGAAGATTAGACATCAGACAATAATATAGTAGATTCCCAATGTCAAGTGTTGCTTTCTTGAGCAGACGCTGCATAACAATTTCCTCAGAGAAGCCACCATCCTACCCTGACGATCGGAAGCACTGCTAATCTGCAGCAAGTTCTTTCTCACTTTCTCTAGACAGAAAAAAGATAAGGGTTCAAAAAAGGTCAGGTGAGGAACAATGAACCCCCAACATCCCTAGTACATCAGACTGCAACTGGCCTAAACTAAATTAAAAAAAATTAGCATTTGTCCTGACTAGATCCTATCCTGCATTCATGGAATCAGGCAGTTTGGTCCTTACCTATTTTTATCTGCAGAGTAATCAGAAATTTCCTAACAAGAAGAGCTTGATTCAGTCACCAAGTGAAGACAGGTGGCAATGTTTGCGATTTGATGAAAAATAGTAAAATGTGGTTTGTTTTAATCATGTTCCAACTTTATGAGTAAAGTAACTTTATTTAAGTTTCTAAATAATTAACCAGCTCTGAACAAAATATAAACCACTATACTAAACAATTTTTTTGTTTATTTGTTTTAGGAAAAATTGTGACAAACCTAATGATCAGTTCACTTTTGAAGGATCTTTTCTTTTATTGAATGAAAATTTAGTTTAGGTAGAGCAAATGACCACTGAATGACATTATAAACCTGAAAAAAGAACAGGAGTACTTGTGGCACCTTAGATACTAACAAATTTATTAGAACATAAGCTTTTGGCTGTAGCCCATGAAAGCTTATGCTCTAATAAATTTGTTAGTCTCTGAGGTGCCACAAGTACTCCTGTTCTTTTTGCGGATACAGACTAACACGGCTGCTACTCTGAAACCTGTCATTATAAACCTGATGAGATCAATAAAAGTTAAACCACTGTAACTTTGCCAGTCTAAGTGGGCAAAAATAAAATAAAAACGGAATATGCACTCATTTGTATAGATTCTGGCCTCCCCTGCCTCACACACCAAGCAGTTTCATTTATCAGGGGACTAAAAGAATGTTATCAGAAAGTGAAATAATACCCCGTTAAAGTTTCAAAACTGGCTTGCCCAAACACTTTCCAAAAATAAAGAGCCACCTAAGCAGCGGCTATACTTGAGAAACTGTATGGCAATAAGCTATTCCAAAAAAGTTGTATGTGTATAGCAAAACTGACAAAAAAACAATCGGGTATTTTATAACCTTTCAGACATTATTATAGAGACATTTATATAGAAAACATATATACAAGTAATTATAATTATAATTGGGTTTACTTGTGATAAAAATGCAACTGCATATTGGAAGTTAGGTACACTTCACTGTTGTGAATGTGGCTGAGTGCCACCATTTAAGAAGTTGTGCGAACAATTTACAGGAAACATGAAAATCTACCAGTCAGCTTCATTAAAACTGTTCTGAATCTCATCCATTTTGCAATTCACTCCCATCTCCATACATTTTGAAATAGTGAACTTCAATGTGAGATTAGCACCTCAGACAGTCAAAAGGCAGATATATTAAAAATGGGCTGTGTTTATCTCTACCTCTCACTTACACAAGAAAGCCATCTTAAATTGGGCTCCAATTTTTGTACCTAACCAAATTAAAATGATTACAAAACCTAAAAGAATTAGCAAAGATCACTCCACCACTATTTAGTCAAGCAACAAATTATCGGCATGGATGCAATGCAACCACAGTAAGGAACATGGTGAAGGTGACAGTACTCATCAGTTCCTTTATCAAGTTCTCCCTCCCTATGCAGTCTCAGGAATTTGAACATAAAGCTATTGTTTCTATCCCAGTGATTTAATCAGATGTTCTAGAAATTAAAATGCAGCATATATTTTAGAAATCATAATTAAAACTAAACTCAATGATACCACAACCCACCAAGTAAATTGATATTGTGAGGCTTAGACAAGGTGGTTATCTTTTATGGAAACGATGAGGAGTCCGGTGGCACCTTAAAGACTTACACATTTATTTGGGCATAAGCTTTCATGGGTAAAAAACCCACTTCTTCAGATACCATGCTTATGCTCAAATAAATGTGTTAGTCTTTAAGGTGCCACCGGACTCCTCGTTTTTGTGGATACAAACTAACCTGGCTACCCCTCTGATATCTTTTATTGGACCAATTTTAGCTGGTGAGAGAAACAAGCTTTTAAGCCGCACACAGCTCTTCTTCAGGTGAGCTTATTTCCTGTGATACGGAAGCAACACAGAGGCTTGGCCCTGATACTGTTAGGCTGGAGGAGGGAAGTCAACCAGCCTCGACAGTCAGATGTGCTGTTTAAAGGGACAGCCAGGTTACAAACTATTTGTTTTAAAATTTCCTTAAGTTCCTCTTCAATTATTAAACTGGAAAAACACATCAGCATTTATGCGGTTTACTTTTTGCATTTTATTCAACTTGGATAACAAATAGGTCAGTTTCACTTTCTGCTTCTCATGCACACTACTGCAAGACTGGAGTTACAAAGACTACGAAAAAGAAGTTATGAATGACTCCCATCATTAGATTTAATAAACATTTTATAAAATCTACATTTGTAAATCAAACCAACCCCCCCTTTTAAAATATTACATGCCAAGGACACATAAGATACACACCCAGGCCAAGATTTTCACAAGTGTGGGAAGGTGCCCAACTTGCCATTCAGAAACTGCTAAATCCGAAAATCAGGCCCCCTTAAAGAGGTCTCAAAATGTGGGGGGAGGGGAAATAGCCACACAGCATCACTAGCCCCTTGGCCTCCGGCACGCAGAGGGGAGGCAGAGGTGAAGCCTTGCGATAGGGCCGAAGGGCAGCCTCTCAGGGCCCGGGTCTGGCTGTACACCTGCCAGCCGCTGGCTGACCCCCTCCGCCTACTGCTGTTTGCCGGGGCGGGGAGATACCCGCCCCGACCCCTGGGATCCCAGACCCCTCCCCCATCCTAGGGCATTACCAGCCCCTCCCCCACAGCGGCTCCTGAACTGCCAGGCCCCAGAGACCGCCCCCGCCCCGCCGGAGACCCACAGCCCCTCTGAGTGAGGCCCTCAGCCGGGGCCCGCATTCTCCAAAGCGTCCTACGCCCCTAACGCAGCGTAGCCGCGAGGGAATCACCAGGCCCTAGGAAAAGACACTAGTGACCCTGCCGGCCCGTGGGAGCCGAGCGCCTCCTCCCCACCCTCCGAAAAGGGGGCATACACAGTCCGGTACCTTACCTCCCCCCCTCCCCTCGGGGACTTTAACGCTCTTCAGTGGGCTCCGCTACCGCGCCGGAAGTCCCTGCCGAGAAGGAAGCGTCCGCCGCTGTTACCACACACCAGGCGTTGTCCGGAACCAGCCCGCAGCCGCATGGGCCCCTGGGACCTGTAGTGCAGTTCCGACGAACTACAACGCCCACAAGGCAATGCGAGGGGGAGGGCGGGGGCGGGAGCGAGAAGAGTGAGAGGAGGAGCGGGTGGAGAGCTAGCCCAATCGGAGTGCCGGTCCGGAGGAGGGGGCGTGGCCCCGAGAGGGGCGGGGCAGGCGTGAGAGTATGCAGGCGTCGGCGGGCGCCACAGAAACAATTCCTGAGGCGGTCCCTGTACTAGTCGCAGCTCCAGTCTAGCGGAGCCGGGGCGGGGGGTGTCCGCATCTGCTGCAGGAGCGCTCCAAGGGAGGTAAGCGCCGTCAGGTACTTCGCGGTGCGGGCAGCCCGGGTGCGCGTGGGGGGTTCCCCGCCCTATGAAATCATTGGGTAGCTGCCCCCCGTGTTGAATGAATGTTAGAGGTTTGCATGTCAATTGACTTCGCATTCCTTGTTTGGGATCTGTTCGAAAGTCTCCCTCTGACTATTGCTGAACATATATATATATATGGCAATGTGTGTGAGTCGTTTAAACCCAGCTCACTTGTCAGTTATTGAGCAACCTCCCTCAGTTTCGCACAGCGTGCAGACCAAGGAAATAAATTCCTGAATCTGGGTGTGGGTGTAATCTAGTCCAGTGGTATGTTTGTCCCCATCCCAGCCCACCCCTTTACTTGGTGGGTTTTTATTAAAATCTTCTATTTTATTAAAATGTTGTTTCTCTTCATGCCCCAATGGTTGTTTTGACAGCAGCTATTTCCACATCCGCTATAGATTTGTAAATCCGAGTCCTGGCTTTTGTTGTACTTGCCTTACGACTTTGTCAGTGGCTTACTGTAAACTGGGACCCAACATCTGGTGTTTGTTGATGCAATTCGGAGTGCATTAGCTTTGCTGTAGAAAATAATATTAAGAACTCTGAAGATTTAAGAAGTTCTTAAAACTGAAAAATAATTCAAAAAACATAATTAGAAGTCTTTCAGTTTCAAGTCACTTCAGAATGAGTGTAGAAGTAGCGTATTTAAAACGGGTGGCTATTTTAGAGCATGTGTGTGTATATATCTGTGTATCTGTATGTGTATATATTGTGTATATATATGTCTGTGTGTGTGTGTGTATATTCGTAAGTGTCCCCTATTTGGAGAAAAACTTAAATATAAAGTGCCTTTCTCTTTACAACATAAGATTTTTGCATTATGTGGCTCACTAAACCATGCAATACACCATATCTGAAATCTCCCTTTTGCAAAGTCTCATGCACATCTTGACAGCTCAGTAAAATGAATAGCAACCTCTCGGTAGTGTACATTTACCAGTCTACTAATACAATAATTATCCAAGGTTTTAAAAATGATGCAAAAACTAAGTTATATTTTAACCCCTTTTATTATGAATAAAAATGAGGATACTATAATAATAATGATGTAAAGCACTTTGAGATCTTTAAATGAACAGTTCTGTAAAGCTCATAATAATATCACTGTTTTAAGTCCATCCATTTCCCTGTTTAAACAATGGTAACATGTTAGTTGCTAAGAGCAACTGTTACAGGAAAGCTTTAGAACTTTAAATAGCATGTGACAATCAAGAAATACGTTTTTTAAAAATTGGCTTTAAAAATTTAAGTTCAGGTCTCTTAAATTTGTTAGCTCATGTAAAGAGAGTTTTTAAGAATACTGTATAGCATGATAAAGATGTAAACACTTCATATAACAGGAGGATGTGTAGGAAGAGTGCCAATACCTGAATGAATAGATAAATGACGATTAAACCTATCAACCATTGGTTATAACTTTTGGTAACAAAAAGGGACTGTCTGTGGAAAGCCGTGCATACATTTGAAGCTCCTAGCTTTGCAGTGTGGGAACAGAGATCTCAAATATTTGGGACAGTAACACAACATGGAACCATCTGTCACCTGTTAGGTCCTGATAGCTTAATGAATAAAGAAAGCCAGAATGACATCTGAATGTTATGCTCCATTAAAATACCACAATATTCCCCTCATTCTACCCTGCTTTCTATTATTTTTAATCTGTCTTTGTGGAATCCATTGAATACCAGCTAATGCACATCCCTCACTATTGGTGGGGTAGATCTAGAATATGTGTAGCATACAAAAATATTAATATCATTAATAGCTTTTAACTTTGTTTGGCATCCCAAAGACTTTTGTTTTAATAATTGTAGGACTTATTTCTGTAAGTCCTATGGAAAATGAAATTACTGGTTGGGAAAGGTTTTTTTGTGCTTTGAAAAGTCCATAAAACAAATCAAGAGGTGAGTGGGGGTCTGAGATAGACAGACACTCTCTTGTGCATACATGCATGAGAAAATTAAACTTAAGTATGTTTTTTAAATGAAGCTGTGTAGTAATGCACACTCTTTTTTGTTTAAAAAATTAATAGAACAGAATATTCTGTTAAATATCTGGTTCTCTTCCCTCAGATTATTTAACCACAGATTTGACTTTCCAAGACGAGAGTCTATAGTCAAAGATGAATACATTTTCCATTCTCTTATCCCTTCCTGGTTTTTCAAAACTGCTGTCTGTTGTGGTTTTGTAGAGGGGGGGAGGGAGTTTGGGGCTTTTTAAAAGCAACTATAGATGATTGCCTTGTTATAAAGCAAGTCTTATGATATCTTTAGGCCACTTTTTAATATAGGTCAGCAGTTCTCAAACTGTGGGTCAAGACAGTTTTAATTGGGTCACCAGGGCTGGCTTAGACTTGCCTGGGGCCAATGCCAAAGCCCAACCCCCGCCATCCAGGGCCAAAGCCAAAGAGCTTCAGCCCTGGGCAGCAGAGCTCAGGTTACAGGCCCCCTGCCTGTGGCTGAAGCCCTTGGGCTTCGGCTTTAGCCCCCCTGCCTGGAACAATGGGAAAAGCCTCCCCACCCATGGTGGTGGGGTTCAGGTGGGCTCAGTCTTTTGTCCCCCTTCCTGTGGTCGGGTAGTACTTTTTGTTGTCAGAAAGGGGTCATGGTGTTTGATGTTTGAGAACCCCTGGTATAGGTCATACACAGTCAGACATGTAACAGTGCTAAGTGGTTTTGCCTAAGGCACAGCTATTTCCACTATGTTCTTTCCAACATGGGAGGGGGGGGGAGGAAATAAAATTATAGATAAACGGTTGAACAAGTTATATTCAGATTGGCCTCAAGTGAGTGAGTGGCACCCATATGATTAAAGCCCTGCAAATCTGCAAATATCCACTTTATGTCTGCGGAACATTTTTGTGGATTGTGCATGGATGCAGATCAAAATTTTATATCTAGAGCCCTGCAAATCTGCAGATATCTGTCAGCTTTACATCCATTGATTGTGAATCAGCTGCGGATACGAATTTTGTATCCATGCAGGGTTCTACGTATGATTTCCCTCCCTCCACTTCACCTCGCTCCATGGGGGAAATATGGAGACCGACAAAATATGGTGTCTTTACCTCACCTTGCGAGTGTAGAAAATATTCCTACCAGCTACCTCTAAAGGTGATTTTAGTTATGATGAAAAGTTAAAAAGCTCAGTAAACTGCAAGTGAGAGTTCAGCAAGTATCATTAATGTTAAAACAGTATATATATATCTTTTTTTTTTACTGTTTTAACGACATTGGCTAAAATAAAAATAATGTGAAGAAAATCAGGCTTACAAAACAATCCCAAGAAGCAGTAAAAACACTGCTTTTAAAAAAAATTCCACCAAAAACATATACATGAAGATTTGGGTAAATTCACAAATCTCCATGTAAAATAAGGGTGGTTGGGGGTGAGGCGATTACTTAAAAACTGATTCTCCTATCACTCTTAATTAAATCAGAAATATTTCCCTTGAAGTCAGTGGAGGTACACTGACAAAGGAGAGGAAAATAGAGTTATTAATGTTGACAGTATCTTTCTGGTTAATTTAGATATTTAAGATTTGGATATTTAAGATCTTCACTTTATCACTAGTAAGTAGCTAAGTATATCAAGAGCACAGTCTTGGAATGTTTTATGTAAATGGGAGAAGGACGGGAACCCTCCCCCCCTTTTTTTTTTAATATAAACAATGGTTTAATGGATAAGGCATTGAGCTTATGGTATGTTTTGTATCCTACCTTGTACTTTTGAGCTTAATTCTAACCTAATGTTCAAAACTGAGTCTTTGATCATCCAAGGGATATCTTTGAGTGTGCATTATCAATTTAAAGCAAAGATGGATATCCAGGCTTTTTAAATATGTTTGTGTAAACCATTATCAAGGATGAAATCAGATCAATTTAATCTAGATTTTTAACTTGTATTATCCGTAAGGGAAATGCTTGTTTGTGTAATTGTTGAGCAATAGTAAAGGAGGGAATGTTTTCCTCCCTAATGGGAACAGTGTTTAGAGCAGATGTTTTAGTCATAGAAATTTTGGCTAATTATGTCATGCATTCCCGTTTATATATTCTTATGGCTATGCTAGTTCTGAATTCTAATCTGGGGTGTGTTTCAAAGTTCTTTTCAATTTTTGAGTGTCTCACAC